CTTACACTTATTAAGTAAGTGTGCCAGGCACACTAAATTGTTTTTGTGTATTAAATTAACCCACATATTAACACTATGAGCAGGTGCTACCCCCCCCTCCACTTTAAAAATGGGAAAACTGAGGCATAGAAAGATTAAGGAAGTCACCCAAGGTCAAAAATATGGTAAAATGACAGAGCAGAGATTTGAATCCAGACAATCTGACTCCAGAGCCCAGGCTATTATCTACTGTGCTATACTGCTTCCCTCAATTTACTGCCCTGTGCCTAGTGTGAGGAGCTCGGGTAACATACTGGTTAAAGCACTGGGCAGCTGACCAAAAGGTTGGCAGTTTGAACGCACCAGCTGCTCCGTGAGAGGAAAGTGAGGCAGTTGGCTTCTGTAAAACAATGGTACAGAGTTATTCTCTGTCCTAAAGGGCTGCTGTGAGTCAGAATTGACTTGACAACACTGGGTTTTTTTGTTTAGAGCCTAGTATTACTAATTTAAGATATATACAATGATATTTATTTCTTTTAGTGCCTCTGTTACATTATTTAAGGAGCTCTGGAGACACAGTGCCTAAAGTATTTGACTGCTAACCAGAAGGTTGGTGGTTCAAACCCATCAGTCACTCTGCGTGCTCTGGAGCAACCTAGTTCCATAAAGATTTACTGCCTTGGAAACCCAATGAGGGTCACTATGAATCAGAATCAACTCAATGGCAGTGCATTTTTTTAAAAAAATTATTAGTATTACTTTATTTAGATAAATGTATTTCTGGAATCCTTTTGTTCCCATAAGGTCTTAGGTTTCCCAGTCACAAATTCTGGCATGAGAGTCTACAGGATACAACTGTAAGAGCTGGGGTAGGTCTGCTCTACTTCCATGTCTCTGGAGTCCAGCTTTCCAGGGAAAAGCAGGAACAAAATACATTTCAAGTTCTTATCCTATCTTTATATTCCCCAACATCAAATTTTTAAACTGCCAAAGAGTTGGAAGTTCTGGCTATTGGGCTAGTTTCATAATGGAGGCACCTTCCCTCTCCTAGTGGCGCAGTGCCTAAGGCATTTGACCGTTAATAAGAAGGCTGGCAGTTCAAACCCACCAGCCACTCCTCAGAAGGAAGACTGGACAATCTACTTCTGTAGAGATACCACCTCAGAAACCCAAGGAGGGGTCGCTATGAGTTAGGATCAACTGGACGGCAGTGAGCTTGGCTTTGCTTTTTTTTTTTTTTACCCCAGAGAATAGTGTTGAGCCCAGTGATATAAGATAGGTAAAGTATTCTAGGGACTTGGCCTGAGATACAACATTTTAAACCAGCCCTTCTTTCACCTTTTATATAAAACATAGTTTAAAGTAACCAATTTCAAACCCTATAGAATCAATGCTTACCAGGGTATCATCATTCTGGTCTCCAAACATTTCTTTAAAAATCTTGCCAGGGTCAGGAATCGGAGGGAATATAATGATCTTGAGCCTTTAAGAAAACAGAGATATTTTGGGTCAAACCTTCCAGGCCACAGGAACATCCCACCTAAATACAGCTATATTAAAAGAAGGCTTGAACAAAAGATAAGAATACAAATCATCTTTAGTGAAGAAGCAGTTGTAAAGAAATTTCTAAAACAGGCCTGTCTTAAGAGCATCACGTTTGAGTGGGGCAAAGGGACCATCAGGATAAGCAAATTAGTTATACCCTGTATTTTAAGTAATAGTGGTAACTTGCTGTTTATAATTTTAGGAAAAAAAAATCTTCTAAGAATAGGGGACATTCCTCTTTTTCTTTCTTCTTCTTACCTCTCTCCTCTCCATTTTTGAATCTTACAACGCTCCCTGGTGGACCTGCTCATCTCCTAGGTCTCTGAACATTGTAGTGCCCCAGGGTTTAATCCTTTGTCCTCTTTCCTTCCCTTCTCTATCTTACCTGCTCTCTGAGTGGTCTCTTACAGTTTTAGGGCTTTAAATTCATTTATATGTCAGTGATTCCCCAAATTCTATTTCTAGCCAAGACCTCTCCTGTCATCCAGACCCATATATCCAATTTCAAGTGAATATATCTACTAGGTATCTCGAACTTGGCATGCTCAAAACCAAACTCCTCATCTTTCCCCTAAAGCTAGCTCTCTATACCAATCTTCTCTGTCTCAGTAAATGTCTCAGTTGCTCAAGCCAAAAATCTGAGAAGTATCCTTGAATCTTCAATTTCCCTTACAGCTCTGCAGATCAACCATCAGCAAGTCCTATCATTTTAACCTTCAAAATATATCCCACATCTGACCACATTTTACTATCTCCATTGCTAACCCCTGGCCCAGGATATCATCAGGTCTCCCCTAAAACACTGTAATGTCTCCCAACTAGTCTACCTACTTCCATTCTTGCCCAGGTTGATTCTTCACTCAGGAGCTAGGGTGATGTGATTTAAGACAGTAATCAGATCGCATCTCTCCCCTGCTTCAGACCCTCCAATTTTCCCCATCCTGCTTAGCATAAAATCTCAGTTTTTTTGCCATGGCCTGCATAATCAACCTTGTCAACCTTTCCAGACTCATCTCCAGCCACTGTTCCCCTTGCACACTGTGTGCCGGCCACACCAAGCTCATTCTGCCCTTCACACTTGCTGTCCCCTTCGCCTGGAAAGTTCTTTCCTCAACTATCGAAATGGATCACTGTTATACTTTGAGTTACTTACTCCTCAGATGTCACTTTCCCA